CTCGACTCCCATCGCAGATTAGATAAGGATTATCTCCAGAATTGGGGCGACCCTAAGCATCACCCGGGCGGGGCTCATTGAAAATATAAAATATTTACTGTCTTTTAGATAGTATAGTGTAATGATGAGTTTAAATTTGTAACGCTATTGTAACGCATTATCATTTAGCTCATCTATGATGCGAAGCAACTTTTAAAAGGGCCGGTCATAGGATGCGTGACCAAAAATTAAAGGCACGTTAAGCCTTCGGTCTCAACTGCCTCTGTGTCGTGCTAACCAACTGACCAATCGACCCGCATCGGGGCCGATCCCGTCCATCCACGGGTCAGAGGGGGGCGGCGTCCGGCAGTGGGGTCATCAAATGTGGGGCAGACTTTTTTAAACTTTATTCGATTGTTTATGTTATTTGCTAAGTCATGCTTAGATTAATGAATGTAGCTTCTCATTAAATGAAAAGTTTTGTCAAATATCTGGAGAGAGCTTTCAGTTTTACGCTGGAAATTAATATTTTTAACTGACTTTATATGAGGAAAACGTTTTAAATCGGACTGTTTTAAGTAGATATGTTTCGCCGCATCTTCATCTGCCTTTGATTAACTTATAAATATAGTCAATAGCTGCCATTAAGTTCACACTTTATGCATCACAAAAGAAAACGGTGAAATTATGCCACTTTTTCTATACTTAGTCGAGAATGTGGCTTTAATATTACTCGTGTTTTAAGTAATTTGGAATACTTATTTTAAGTACGCGTGTACCTACACTTATGTACTATGTGTAGTGTCGGGTGTCGTGTGGGTGGCGCTCCCACGCGTCTGCGCTCGCGCTGATTCTGCTGCATCCACAAACACCTAATGCCAACGGGAAACCTGACCATCCTCAGCGCGGCTGATATATAACAAATATTACATAGCATGAATGTTGTAAAAATGTTCGTTATAACTTAAGAGTTAAGGACGAAACTCTTGCATCATTAATCTTTTTACATAAAGAGCAAGTAGTGATAAATTTTCGGTAAGCAGATAATTCATTAGCACATATTTTTCTAGAACTTATACAAAATTTCAAATACTAAAGGATTTTTTTAAAATCGCAGTCAAGTTCAAGGGTATGGTTTATTTTGCTATAATTTATATTAGAATATTTGTGTTTAAAAGTTTAAAAGGCACACATACACGTAAAATGTATAAATTGAGGTTTTAAAGAGTTTCTCTAAATGGAAACTTCTAATATGTTATCCATGTCTAATTATTTAATATTTTAGTGGATAAAGATTTTAAAGTTATATTAATAGCGAAGTGAATGTTTTTATCTTAAAATGAAGCCGGTATTATTTGTTTTGTTTCTACCATAGAGAAATAAGTGAGTTGCCAGTTGCTACAGCTGTTAGTAAAACAAATATGTAAATAAAAGATTAGTTATGTATTTAATCGAAAATATAACACAATAACTTTAAGTAGGTATATCAAATGTGTCTCCTAATGTTAATAAGCTTAAGTAATTAAAACAAGGAAAATTCCATCGCGGACCGCGCGCGTGATCCTGAAGCGACACACACACGGAATAACTTTAACATATTTAATTATTACAAAACATAAATGGCCGCTTATCAAAGTTCGCTTTATTTCCAATTGTATGTTTTATAGTTTATGTGTCAGTTTGTGACTTCCGCTCTCGGTTCGCCTGCAGCTTTATGTTTAATTGTTATAATAAAAAACGCTGTAAGCATCGACGACGACGACGACGGTACCGCGTTTAATAAAATAGGTCGCAACCGGCGACTTTCTTTACCAACCGTGACAATGATGACGTATACTAACATTGCATAGGTAATTACATTCTCTGCCGTTACTTTAAAAATTTGTAAATTATAACAGTTTCTCTGACCTGAAAATATTAATGTCTTTATTTTGAAGTTTATGATAAATTAATCATTACGTTAAAGGTATTGTTTACTTGTTAAAGATTGATCACTTGGACGATTAGTTGATTCTTGAATAACATACAGATAGATTTTTAACAACTTCTGAATAAGGAATTTTATTGTATTTTTAAGTTTTTGCACTCGCAATGCTATCTATGAGTATCTTATAGAGAAATAGATGTTTCCTTTAGATAAATTAAGAGTTTTGTTTAGTTTACATATCCTCGTCATGTTTTCTTTTTGTGATTTGTAATATTTTGGGTAGTACATTATATAATTGAAATGATTTATCTGTTAGTCGCCGCGTGCGCAGGCGCAGGCGCAGGCGCTCGCATGTTTGCCGAGGATCCCCTCTAGTTTTTGTGTGTGTTCGCTCTAACGCGCCATTTTACACGTTTTAAGAGCCCTCGGATCGTTTCCAAATTTGTACTCTTCATTTTTTTGTCATTGTTGAGTGACGGCTTAAGTGTCTCGAAATGAGTTATTTGTATAGGCTCTTAGCGTTCCGGTGTGGGTTTATGTCGATGATGCGCAAATAATGCCTTCGTTTCGTATTAGTTTAATGTATTAAAAGGACGTAAATTTCTTTGGGTTGTTTGTTTTCGTCGTTAAATCGCTAGTTGGGCACACTGGCTGGTACTAATTTGACGGGTGATAGTTGATGCGGTCCCACGGGATTGTTCTGGTGGGTCCGTATGATGACCACGTGCGGCGGGCAGTGCCACGGCACACGGGTGTGTGCCCGTGCCGTGCCAGCGGCGGCGGCGGCGTGCGACACATTCATTAGGTACACGATATTACCGCCACCATGTTTCCGCGTATTGCCTCTCTAGATGCGGGTGCGCCGTGTAGCCCGCCGCCTGAACACGTACAATTACTTACTTGTCGCCCGTTGTTGTATTGATTTCTCATAGCACCGAGTGAGACATAGCACCGTTTTCTAAGCGTTGTTCTGCAATAAACATGGCCCATAATATAGCGCTCGGCACGTTTCCGGGTGCCGAGACGTTCGACTCGTTTGAACGTTAATATAAAAGATGTTTTGAAACTGTGAGACAGTTTCGGTTATCTGATGGTCGCCGAGCACGTCGCCTGGCTGGCGTGTGTAAACACAGTAGTGAGTGAATGCGACATAATGGGATCTAAATGCACTAGTAATTGGCCCTTATCTGTTCCGGACGAGTTTTCCAAATTTGTCGAGCCATCAGCGCGCGGGTGGCGTCGCGGGCGCCGTAATGAATGCAAGCGGGTCAGGGCGCTGGCGGGGGTGAGCGGGGGCAGGGGGAGGGAGGGGAGCATGCGCTCGCGCCGATAACGCGCACCTACTTCCGAGACGTTCCGAGCCATTAGCCTCGAATGCTCACTCCGCTCCACTTAACAATACGTACGTACGCGAGGCGACGCTTACTGAAATAAAGTCGTCGAGTGTCGAGCTAGGCTATACTCATATGGATAGTCATAGTCGGAGTCGATGAACTTCGATATTCGGTAGCCTGCAATGACGACTTCCCAGGTTGCTAATTTAACCAGTACCGATAAGGTGCCGTAGACGACGCAATTGAAAACCGTTCGTTACATGAATGTCACGTAGAAAAAAATTCTTGTTGCTCAATTAGCGGTGTCGCAAGACGCAGCGATACAACCCGTCCTCCCTCGCCGGCACGTACCGACCGACCGCTCACATGCCACGGCTATTACCTAAGTTTGTTTCACAATATTATGAAAGTAACATTCAATACCTGACACTTTGACGAGCATAATTACCAAACGAGTTTCATACGCAACATCAATCAAAATAACAACCCTTATATACTTCACCCCAATATTGTCTATTCATTTGTCATATAATTTCAAAATGAATATTTACTAAAGTTAAATGTTTGACTACTTAGGGATATCGTGAAGAAATGTGCTATTAGTAATTAATATATATCATATCATGTAACTTATGATTCAGTGATCTGGCCTGACCTGACTCACTCAGAGCGTATTTCATGAAAAAGTCGACTACATCATAAAGCAACAATTCTAAGATCAAATCATATCGAAGCAAAATCTTTTTATATGCAATATGTACCCATGTAGGTATAAACTTATATTAAAATTACTTTGGCAGCAGTTACTATTTGTGAATTTGAGGTAGGGGTGGCTGAAAATCAGCGCTGGCCGGGAACACGATCCTATGTCAGCAGTAGCTGAGCCACTACCCTTTTGCACTATAACAAAATAATACAATACCTGTTTAACAAAACTATTTAAATGGCCCATGTAATTTTGTTATAAGAAGCAATAAAGATTTTTTTCATTTCATTTCATTTCATTTTAATAAGTAATTTATAACTAGTAAGGAAAAACTGCAACTCGAGCTTTTTATATCAGTAGTCCGGGAATCCGGAAATTCGAATGACGTATCCCGCCCAGATGGTCCTGTTGATGAGATTAAGAAGTAGAAGGCGACCGTAATTGTTCATTAGAAGGGGCGTGCTCTATCGTCAAGATAACACCAGATATCACAACACCGCAAATTAATGCAGTTCTGAGCTTGCATATTCTTTTTTGTTTTTGAGACATTACAAGGAAAAAATATTTATTTTAAAACATAAAGATTTAAAAAATTACATTTTTTGTTGTAAATTTTTTGTAAAATTGTTTTAAACTTAAATTCAAATTAGTAAATTTTCCATGACTGTTAGCTAGGGTTAATTTTAATGCCTCCGCAGTAATCCACTAACGCTCTTTCGCAATTCGAAATCATAACGAAATCATTGCCCTTGTAAATATGTCTTCAGTTATCATATAAAATACAAATTTCCGTCAGTGAATGATTTCTGATATCAACTTGGCGGTAGGACACAATGACGAATGTAAAGAGACAAGAGACCTGTTTGTTCTCTATGACATTATTCAGTGGCGTTGTTCAGTGTCTACAGTAGAAGACGTGATTAGTATCTAGCCGTAAACGTTGTAATATATCTACTTTCTGAAAGTATTAACTGGAACGAGAGACTGTTGTCACCGAGTCAAACAATTACTTATCTCTTTATATCTCTTTGTAACGATGGGTGTGTTGGTGCAGAGGCAACGGCGGCGGCGGCGGCGCTGCGTCGTACACGAGGTGCGCTTATTCCGGCTCGTCCCCGTACTTCACCTCACCCGCGGACATCAACGTGCAGCAGCAGATCTGGAGCTCACCAGCCGGTGCGTTCATTCAATAAGCCATTACTGTGCCAACTTATAAACAGACTGCTTTATCAGATATAACAGTTGTCCCATCTTTTTTGATTTTACATTCATAATGCTATGTTGATGACATAAATATTGATTGTTTTCCCATATTTTATAGCAGCTAGGGAAATGATCTGCGGAGACGTAGGGTCTGTAAAAGGATAGCTACCGATATAAAGAAGTATGATTATAGTTCATCCATTAGTTCGATCCTAAATTTCATAGTACTTTACTTCCTTCGATAATCAAGATATAAGATAGAAGTGACTTTTTAGTTGTCGGGCTTAAGTTTTTGAATTTAATAAAGATAGGAAGGATCTCATGAGAAACCTGCATTTTTCTTTGGATACGTAAAACTGCATTGTGTAACATTGTGAGTATCCGGGTGCAGGTGGGTCACCGACATATGGATCGAGTGGTAGCGGCGGCGGCGTGGTGCTGGGTGAGGAGTACGCGCCGGACGCTGGCGGCGGTGGCGGCGGCTCCGAGCCGGGCGGGGGCTCGCTGCCCGCCTTTAGCTCGAGGTTCGGCAGCGCCTTCGCCACATCAAGACCTTCCACCGTTTACGGTGCCCCCGCTATAGCTACTAATGCGTACGCGCATCAGGTATGTACATGATTTCTTTTAATAGACGCAAATATGTACCTAATTATAGGCCAGGCTGCACTTCAATCGAGTCTTAAGTTGACGCCGATAAAACCACCGGGATAGGAAAAATTTAAAATAATACAATAAAAACTATGAGAAAAACTCGACCCAGTATTAAGTACTTTTAGATTTCCCTTATATACGTAATACCGGGAGCAGCGCTCCCGCGCTTAAAAAGTGTTATGTTCAGAGCCACCTATCTTTCTAGTCTATTATTTATAATTTTTGATTCTCTGATGATGTAAGTACATACTTATTAAAAACTAATTGTGTCATCTGAACTCTTCCAGGAGGTGTGGAGCTTAGACAGTAGTCGGAGACCGCAGGTGTCCGCGGCGGCACATCTCTCAGCCAGTGAGTACTACTGTTTACTGTTATAGGGACACCATTTTTTTCTGTATTTTTGTCGAATGAAGATCGAACCATAAATTAGACATAATTCGACCAAATGATAATGATATTAAAACTACTATACGTATGTGCGTGATAAATTGATAATTATAATCCTAAATTGAATATTATTAATAAACATGTGAAAAGTATCAAAGGAGCGCTACGTGTCCCGCGCGCCATCGATGCGTTTGTTCCTAAACAAATTAGTCTTTGTTTGCAGCGTGAATCGGCGTGGCGACGAAGTCCACTTTCCAAATGAATCATGCGCATTATTTCTAGCTCTCAATTTGACGCCCAACTGATCGTGAATAATGTATTATGTATGTTTCCAAGAATAAACGACTTGTCCGATCGATCGACCTCAATTACAAACATAGGAATCTAAATGTGATGGATGAATAATTATTATTACTTATATACCTCATATATTTGAACTATTCTCTGATTGCTGCCTTCCTCTACCGTTGCGGCCATGGCATTGCGATGATTATATTGTGACAGCATACATTGCCGGTTCAGGCTAATACAGTGTTTGCAACGTATGGTTTTGGGACAGCAACAGGTCTCTTGTGCGCGTCTCACTCTCATCACATCCCACCGCGTCACAGTGAGATAGGGTGAGGCGGGGAGGGGGGCCCGGGGCGGATCAGGGGTCACGCGCGATAGCCCCACACTCACTGTCAAAACTAATAACCATCTCCGAATAACAGATATATTTTTATTGCGATAAGCTATTTTCAAAAACATCGATAATAGAGTCCGCTTAACGCTATACAGTTCACGTCCGCACCGCTCGTCAACAATGAAAAACTTTTTGTCATATTTTTTTTTATGTGTTTCACATCCACTCGAACCTTCGTCTATCTTCGAAAGGGGCATTAACCATATTTTTATTTCGGTTTTAAAACCCATTAAATAATTAATTGCTTTTCTTTGAACCACTGGATGATTCCGTTCCTAAATTATTTCAAGTGGCATGAAATGGCGACACTTAGCGTCATCTCATATGAACGTATTTTAACAACTTTGAATTTAGATTTTTCTAAAAAATGGCGTCGTTAGTGTTGCGAGTGCTGCAGGCCTATTCTGCTAATGTTTACGTACCTAAAGTACCTAACTACCTAAAGTCCTATAATATTACATGTATATCTGTCACCATCAACAATGGCAACATATAAGTAGTTGATGTTCTATCGAGATGCGATTATTACGTGAACATTATCAGAATTAGCGCGCAGCGAGTTGATTTACATTGTAAGTCACAATTATGTAAAGATGTTCGAGCTGTTGTTGATAAATAAATAGAAAGACGACAAGAGCCATAAGCGTGGATGTGTTGGCGCAGTGTCCACACGAGCGGGCGGACGGCGATGTTTGCGCAGGTCCCGACAAAAAGTCGTCTCCTTTAAAACACCTCGTCCCTCTAGAATCGCATTCCGTAAATGGTATCGGATAAGGCACGTGCCGCGAACGGCGACTTTGTCTCTGCCGATATTTGCTCGAGACGTCACTAATGCGGCCCCTTATCGCCCATCGTCGCCTGACAGGTCCCCGCTTAGCGCCATTAGGGCATATCTTCGCGTTGACGTCAGAGCTAGGTTAAAACTGTGCTGATTGAGCGGTTTCTGACTCAAAGTTTATGCCTTCTTTTTTGTCGTGTTCCATTGTCACCCAATGAAATCGACCATTATTATCGTTTGTTAGTATTAGATAGTAACATTGCCATTATTTATTGGTTATCGGCCGGTGATCCGGTGCACATGGCCGTGGTTCCCGTTACAGCGCATCAACACCCACACTCGGTCATAGTAATTGAAACCGATGGACTGCATGCCATCATGTTTAGGCTTGGCTAATCATAAAAATAATCGTATTTCATAAAATAAAAATTGGAATAGATTTGATAATAAATAGAGAAGATGTCTGAAATGCATTATTTTGATGTTTTATCGGGTTCGTAATTCATGTGGGTATTTATTTATGAGCAAATTCAAAATCCTTATTGCATTATACTTAAATAACAATTTTACTTTTCGCTTATTTTACCAACTCCACATTGAAAGAAAAAGATAAATTTAGTCAAAATAATACTGTTTCTTTTTTTAATAGAGCGACCGTTTATCTTTTAATGTGGCAGTTGACTGTTCAGCTCGCGTTGCAATAATAATGAATAACCTAGTATCTTTCTATAATTTATTTCGTGTATTAATAAAGTCGTGTCATTATATCTACTCACTTATAAATTATTTCAGAAACATGTTTCGATCTGTAGCCGATAAACTGAAATCTGGCATATGTCGTTCGGTGTCGGGTTACCGTCCGCGCGTTGTGCGAGGAGACAGTCGGTGCTCGTGGCACGCCGGCCGTCTACTATTATCGCGATAATTATTCAACGCTATTAGCGAAGGCTCGTATTCTGTTTGTCTACGGACGGGACATATGTAGGAGATTTATTTACGATTCGATTGCCAGATGATATTGTTTTTGATTGTTATCACTAATTTATTTGACACGGAATAGTTAGGCCGACACTAGGAAATCTACCAGAAGTGTGCGTGCCTGCGTGTGTGTGTATGTCGAGTATAGTGCAGGTCGGTGTGTATGTAGTGCAGGAGGACGCGCGGGTCACGGGAGCGGGAACGGGTCGACGCACCGCGCCAACCGACACACCGCTACACGAGGCCCCGGCTACTGAGTGTAGTTTAGAATCCTTCTCCTCTATCGGTATACGTTCATCGAGGGTCTTAGATTTTTTTAATTATTTATTCTTCTAATGCGTTTACACGAGAGACGACATCTGGCGATCGTTCGGTGGGATGCGAGAGGGACATCACGATGATGTCGCGTAAAACGATGCACACGACCTCGCCCGGACGTGCCGCGGAGAGCGCGCGCGATGCGCACGTTCGCTAGTCAGCGTTTCTACACTCGATGAATCAGTCAATGCCAAGGTCGCGACGGTTCGACGTTCCGATTCGGGGCGATCGGCGGGCACGGGAAACGATAAAACGTAGTGGTTCTCGTCGAACGGCTGGACGTCGAGAGGTCGCGCGGGGACGCTCGGCGGACACGGCGCACGGTCGGTGCATCGAGCTAACGCGGGGTTGTTGCGCGCAGTGGATATGGTGGAGTTTATCACGGAGGGGCGCGAGTGCGTGAACTGCGGCACCGTGCAGACGCCGCTGTGGCGCCGCGACTGCACCGGCCACTACCTGTGCAACGCGTGCGGCCTCTACAACAAGATGAACGGCATGAACCGGCCGCTGAAGCAGCCGCGGCGGCTGGTACGTCAGCGGCACGCGGCGCACGCGCTGGCCGCGCCCGCACACGACGTACGCATCTCGCCCGCACCCGCCCCCCCCTCGCCCGCACCCGCCCCCCCCGCCCGGCCCGCAGTATCCGCGCCCGCCGAGCGTCCTGCCCCGCGCGCGACCGAGTCTCAGTTCTCACGTGTTGTTGCAGTGGCCGCGGAGGGGGCCCCGCCGGGCGCGGATTACTACAAGGGTTTCCTGTTAAACGGGCTCGCGTCGCCGCACGCGCACGCGCACGCCTTGTCCGCGCCGGCGCCGCTCTGTGCGCCCTCGCACGCCGCCTCCACTCCCCCCGACTACAAACAGAAGAAAGGGGTACGACGCGCCCGTCCTCCTCTCCCTCCCGCTTCCTCTCTCACCCCTGTGCGCCCTAACCGACGTTCATCGCTTTTTCCTCGTATATTTAAGTGCTTCTAATACTAACCGCATGCGTTCGTGATCAAACTTTAATTGGGACGTAAACCTAGTGAAGGAAATCGACCTCGGTGTGATTTTGGGTCGAACTGAAATCTATATCAAAAATTAAGTTTGCATATTTTTATTGAACCATGGAAAGGATCGAGTCGCGATTTCGCCGGAAATATATACTATGAAAAAAATAATTACGCTTTCACTATTAACATCGTTTCGCAGATTTTCCAGTGTTGAATTAGTTTATCGACTATTCGAATGTAGATTTATTAACAAAACGATCGTTCGGATATTCCGGCGATACGTTTTTAAATATGAAGCGAGTTACACGAAGTTTCAACGTAATTCAGCGTGAAACTAAACTCCATAATTCGACGGGCGATTTCCTTTGGAATTTTCATTAGAAAGATATCTATAGTAATCAATTACGTAGTAGTGGTCACCGGAGCGTACATTACAAGCAATGCAATGCGTGTGTGATGTGCAGGCGGGCACGAAGCGGCCCGGCACCACGTGCACCAACTGCCGCACCATGACCACGTCGCTGTGGCGTCGCAACGCGCACGGCGAGACCGTGTGCAACGCGTGCGGCCTCTACTACAAGCTGCACAACGTCAACCGCCCGCTCGCCATGAAGAAGGACGCCATACAGGTACCGCTCCGGCTCTCACATCAACTCTATTGAAGTGAAACAGCATACACTACGTCTTCCGGCAAGAAGAGCATTACTGACCCGGCATCATAGCTGACTGCATTCTTCCTTAAAATTAGTGCTCACGAAATTAATTAAAATTTCGTTGTATGGTACAGGTGAAGTTTATCGATTGTAAAATTCTGACATACACAGCTTAAGCTCGGATAGTATAGTTCGATAAAAGACAAAATAGGCAACAAAAATATATGTTTAAAGTACTCCGATGAACATACACACCGGCGGAGACATCGATCTTTATTCAAACTAGAGGCCGACCGGGGCGGTATAGGTAATAATCTTTCCGTATTTGACTTTTCAGACGAGAAAGCGAAAACCGAAGAACGGCATGAAGTCCGAGCGGAACATCAAAACCGCCGTCCAGCGGACGCTCTCTTCGGGCGTCAAAATGGAAAACTTGCGTGAGTCAACTTCGTTCCGTATTCGTTCTTTCGTTCGATCACCGGGGTGTTTCTTTCGAAAGCGATCGATTCCGAGGCCGACGATCGATTTCGAACGTCGGTCTCTACCTCGATATAGAAATACAACGTGTCCGATCTCACGTCGACTATGATAGATCTGAAAACAGACAGAAGACGAACCCGCTGCATTCCAAATAATATATTGACTAAAAATGTTCGGTCTCCAGTGGAGAGCAGCGCCGTGGGCCGCGGCGGGCTCGGCTACTACGCGGGCCACATGAAGCTGGAGGAGCCGCCGCCGGCGCACGCGCACCACGCGCCGCTGTACGACGACGCCGAGTACCGCCGCGCCGCCGCCGCCGCCGCCGACGAGCGCCTCGACCGCCCCACCGTCGTGTCCATGGGCAGCTGAGCCGCGCCCCGCCCTTGTCGCTAGTTGACCAAATACAGCGCGCGCCCCCTCCCCTCCCCACCCCTGTACATATCCGCCGCGGGGGCGCGCGCGCTCCCCTCCGGGAGGAACTCTTTAGCTTTTAGCGCGATCGTCGGCCGAGTCGTCTCGTCCTCGATCGCGATCGGGAATCTCGATTCGGGTCGCCTCTCGTTTCCGAATATTTTAGTACCCGGAAGACTGCCCCCGATCCCGTTCCCGGCGGGCCGTTCTTCGGAACGGTCCCCGTCGTCGGGTCCGTCGCCGGCGGGGAACTCGGAGCCCGAGCGAATCTCCGTTGGTTTTTTTTATTGATATTATCGATGTGCCGTCGGCGGGAGTCGACGGTCGATCCGTAGAGTGATGAAATAGAATATGTGTCGTTCCTATGTGTTAGATTTTAAAGAAACTCCATAACTTGAAATGGCATTCCACTAATTCGACGACGACGTTCACGTCGAGGGTCCCGGAACGCTCGCGGCGCGGCGCCCCGGCGGAGGGAGCCCGGAATCAGTTCGATACCGAAATCCACGAACGGACCTCTCCGGATTGTCCCGACCGCAGAATTTCAGAGCGACGAGTTCCTTCTGGGGCCGTCCTTTTGTGGTAAATAATAAAAAGTTTCCGTAAACTTTCGTATTATAAATTGTTCCCGAGATGGTTCCGGTCTCGCCCCGCCGGGCGGCGGTCGGTGTCGTTCGACCCGAGTGTTTGTCGGGTTAAACTGTCAAACTTATTTCATAATACATAGCCGATATGTTAGGTTTAAGAATATTTAACTAAATTTGACGGCTCCGTCGGTCATTCTGTAGAACCGAGTCAAATTTGTCAATCGATTAGTCGTCGAGCATCTAATTTTTTAAGATTTTAAAATACGTTTTGTAAGTAGTGGTCAAATTTAGTTGAATTGTTATATCGTGTGACATACGACGATGCCCCCGCTGCCTGGCAGGCCGAGCGATCTCTGTATCACGTGGCCAGCCCCTGTAATAAGTTGGAGCCGGTGCGGAGGGCCGACACGCAACTATGTATAAGATATTATAGTGGACCGCACCACTATGTGATGTTAAATTTTATTTATGTTATCCACGAAGAGACGTCGTCACCGTTAGTCATAGTTTACAGTTCTTTGTAAATATAAAAGAGTATATACTTTGAATAAATTACTATAAAGTTAACATTCGGTTTTTTAATATATCAGAAATAAAGCCTTAATAATAACTATAAACTCCATTACACGTACCAATGTTTACGTGACGTTAACTGAAGAATGCCTAATTTTTACCAGTCGTTTAATGTTCATATCATAAACATTTGTGTTTATATATTTTTAGTGATAATTATATAAATATTAATTCCGTAATGTTTAAATTTTAAGAATAAAATTATATGAAAATATAAATCGGTTTTGTAAATCGGTAAACAAAACCGATACCATAAGTACGTGTTCACTAACACGATCCGAATGTAAAGAATCCATCATCATTTACAAGCAACACACTCACACACCAGTTTTTCTCTATAATTTACGTGCAAGAATTTCAATTAAATTAGCATTCATATAAAAATGTATTTTATTTTTAATGAAAAATACTTTAAAATACTGGGTAGCTCAGTAGTTAGAGCAGTTGCCCGGATTGCTAAAGGACATGGGTTTGGATCCCATCTCAGACAGCCGGGGATAATGTGGATTTTAAGCATTTTTCATAGAATGAGTGTACATTTGAGTTATAAAATGAGCGATGGTATTTTTTTGAGCCCCTGGGTTGAGCTACTGTTATAAAATGAAATAAAAAATATGTTATCTCTTATTAGCCGTATAGTTCGAAGCGGCCTTGAAAATTTAAAATATAATTGATTAAATATAGAAAAAAAAACATATTTGCAACCAAAAATATCCGTAAGCAGTTAAGAACAAATGTATTATCCTATTTCAATAAAAGCGATAAATACAACTGCTAAATTACTACAAATTGCGTTGCACCGGCGTGCTGTTGGAGTGTCATAAGTGAATAAATAAGTACACGACACGTACAGGTTTCTGAATTGGGAATTTGAAGTTGAGCACGTCTCAAACTGTATTTAAGTACAATTTAAGCCTCACCTAAACAGTTATTCCTTTCTGATTTTAATTTTTATATTAGGATGACAACGATGTAACTTAACTAACCATGAATTTCCATCTAAACTAAACCTGTATACAACATTTTAGTCAGCTATAAAGTTCTTGTAGTTTTTACGTTTAAAAAAAAAGTTTTATTTTTTAATTATGGGTCTGGTTTATGCAGGGCCGGATTAGCCACGTATCAAAAGTAGCGAATGCTACGGGCCCCGCCCAACACAGGTGTAGGCAGTAAACTATAATTAATCCTTTTGTTTCTGATAGTGTTTAATGTTATTTGACCGATAATCACACTTTTATGCTTATTATATTATGGAACTGCTTATGTATAACTATGAAAAAACTAATATTTTATTCTCGTTGTCACGTGACCGCGCAAACAGCGCGTGACGTCACGCCCTTCTCATTCAAATCAGAACTAGAAGAATTCAACCTTATGCATAAATAGAACGACATGTCAAAGTGCCGTGACATTACACGTGGCGTTTACGCGGGAAATTTCGAAAATTATATTTATTTTTATATTTTAACTTATTATATTTAAAAAAATGTTTAGATATAATTCATGCATATCTATAAAACAGAAATAATCCAAAAAAAGTTATCTACACCCCTATTCGGAGCCTCGCTATCGTTCATAAACAATAAATTAATTATTCAAGTGTTTAAAAATGTTAGAAATGAAACAAATCACGCTTCTGACTAAACTCATATTTTTAAGTATAAACATAAGCGGACAAATAAAACTAACTCAAGTCACGGGATTATTCATTCAGTATATAATATTTATTAATTAAGTACATTATTTTGTTTTACTTTTTGATATTAATAAATATATATGTATCTTACCAAATCATGTACAACTGAAATAGCTACTTTGTTAGCTAACACGGAGTAATTGTTGTATTAGTAATTAGTTTATTTGACAAACTCAATTTTAAACTGAAAACTAAGACAAAGGCCGAATTGACTTATATAAATAGATATAATTGTTTAACAGAACATTGGTTGCAACCTAGTGAAATGTAATTTTAATTAACTAATTTTCCTATGCAAAGCTCCTATGTGCGAAGGGGAGCGAAATGCGGTGGATCATTGATATTAGTTAATGATAATGTTAAATCAAAGGAACGGAAAGATATCGTAGAATCAACGGTAGAACGAGATAATGAACTTTCTCCTGTAGAAGTAAGTAGTTTGATTATAGTATGTGTATAGCGAACCCCCAGAGGTTATTGTAGTGTGTTTGAATTGGTAATGGAGGATGTTCTTAAAAGGTTTGACTCGGAAAGCAATTTTTTAGTTGTATGTGGTGATTTTAATTTAACATAGATCTTCACAACACGAGTGCAACAACTGATCGCCTTCTCTCTTTTTTCATATAATAAACAGATACATATGTAAAACCTATCAAACGTAGCTACGACTACGGCTATGTCCATGAGTTAGGCGGTCGCGCCCCTGAACTGATCGAGACAACTTCTAAGTCGTATTAAAATGTATTAGAACTAGCTTCCTTAATTTACTGAATAATTTAAGTGCCTAAAGTAGTCATGCTCTCTTAAAATTCTCTGCGGTGGTGTCATGTGCGTCGGGCCATTACGTGCCATAACAAATGGTTGGCTCATGCGTCAAGCTCGTGAACGGGTGTTGCCAGTGGGAATAAGTCAGTTCTGTAATTTTGTCCATTTTCTTTTATTATGAATACTGTATATTGATTTGTCAACGAGTATGTATGACCCGGTAACCGGCATATTAATCAGTAAGTAATCGAAAAAAATAAGAGTTTACGAATGGCGACCACGTACCGGACGACGCTCACTGAGTAGGTCTCCCACCAGGTGGACCGATGATTTTCTAAAGGTTGCAGGAAGCCGCTAGATGTGGGCAGCGCAGGACCGATCGTCCTGAAAGACTATGGGGAGGCCTATGCTCAGCAGTGGGCGTCTTACGTCTGATGATGAATGAAAATAAATTATGAATCAAAAAATAATGTCTTGTCATTTCTGATTCTGTGATGGAAAATAACTAAAGTCTAATGAAACGGGAAGAAAAAAGCAGCCCTTGCTTCTCAGTACAAGGTTTCCCGCCGTAGTATAGCGAACCGTCGGCATAGTTTTTGACTTTCACGAGTGCTTTTGATTCGGACATATCTCCTTGGTATCAGTTAATTAAGATACAATTTAATCAGATAGCTATTGTTTTCAGTGAAGAAACAGTTCATTGGAGTATCTAATGGTGCGTTGAAGCTATATTGCTAGTGGAATGATTTATAAAACGGATATTCATTTTTAGGCATATTTTGATAAAAACAGAGGATTAAAGTACAATGTGTTGTTGCGTAGTTACACGACGCGTCATATTATACCTATTATTATTGACTTTAGTTCTTACAATCGCTTTGTTGAATCGTTTGTTATAATAATCGTACCTACATGCACTTAAAAGGCTAATATCACGGGCTCGCCTCGTGATTAGAAACACTTCAGGAAAGGCCAACCTGAGGTGCGGTACGAGAGGGGGGAGTCGCTGAAACAATATGGCCGCTATCAGACGCCATCGCGCGTCACGTGCCGCCCCTCTCCCCTCGCCCCACCCGGTTTATTAGCTTTCCACGAAAAAATGTTCAACAAAAAAAACAACTGATAAGATCACGATGAGGTCGAGCGCTGCCCATCAATAATCCGATGATCGAGCTATCAGACTTAGACGCGGATTATTGGCCCCAGCACTGAACACTGACTTCTGCACCACTCGGCACACACTTCACTGCCTGACGTCACTGCACATATATAGTATAACAGATATAATTCCTTTGTCACGACTATCGTCCGAGATGCATGTTGGATTTTATCTGAGAGCGCGGTGGGTGCGCGGGCGCTGCATAGACTGTAATGAGGTGGCGGCTCAGATACGCGCTCTCATAATCAAATCTGTAGGCCTTCTATCTGATAATTACTCGGTATCGGGGATGGTATCGCGATATCTTAGGTCCCGCAGATACGGCGCGCCCGCCGCAGCCGGCGCCCTCGCCCTGGCAGGGCTGGAGGTAGGAGGCGTGGGGGGGGGGAGGGAGGGGGAGAGGACGCTCCCTACAAATATTAGCTTGTTCGCTCTTCGACGGTGTTTGCACATGTTATCGCATCACCAGCGACCGCCAACACACCCGCCACGACCGAGGGGAGCTTCACACATCGCATTATTAAGTGACACATCCACCGTCATCGATCGCTGTGACTAATATACGCCACGATCGATATCTGACAATTTCATATTTATTATACTCTGTTACTGATTAATATCATAGTAATTCAAGCAAAAAACCAGGAACAGGTTAATAAGCGGGCCGCGAATGTAACACTTGCACATGCATCGACCGGCCGGCCGGCGATAGCTGCTCCGTTAGATACAGTATCTGTTAGATACGATTAGGTATCACAATGTTAAGATAACCAGTCTCACATTAACGCCTAGTTAAGATAACACAGATAAAGATTTGCATATCTGAAGGAAACCGCGATATGGGGGTGCTCTATCTATGAGGTCGACGCACTCCACAATAATAATTGTTCTAAGGGCCGCTCTGTGCAGAACTACATGACCTACGTCATATCATATTTAAGCATATCGATATCAGTGATCTCCTATAAGTTTAACATTAAACGCTTAACTAAGTATCTATACTAAACTATTAAAAGGGGGAAACATCGAATAGGCTCCTATTGGATTGATTTTAAAAATTCTACGTGGGCGAAGTAGCCAAAACAGTATATCATAAAACCGCGATTCCGATGAGACAGAAATCAGGACATCGTCAGTGCGTTGTGCAATATTCCTAATCTGCCTTTATGACAATGGCGCGTTGTGAGTGGAAAGTGTTCGCGGCCGGGCCGTGTGTCGCCGCTACGTAAGGGAAAAGGGGTCAGGATTACTGGCGAGCGACGGACGAGCCGACCCCACCCACACAGGCTGTTTGACTAAGGATTAACTAGTTTCTGCTTATGGATCATGAACTAGCACATTTATTATGAACGACGCTTGAAAATATAACTATAATAAAAATAACGATATTTTTTTTTTTAATTACCGCGATTAGATAGCTGAATAACCTCGAAAAAACTTTACTTTTATGCACATTGGCAATATTTCTTTGTGATCAATTCCATTGATAATATTTCGATGTTGATACATCAGCGATTCTCGGGTATTAATTTTATCGCAATTTCACAAATCGAACTTAGTTTATTAATATAATATCGTCACATATTTTCAATGTGACCGCAGAGAAGTTATAAAGCTGATACCAACTTGTATTGTGTATTTCTCTTGTTCGAAGTGTAATAAACTTTACTCTGCGAGATGTAGTATCGGCTATTTATTACTAGCATTTATTTACATAGATACATGTAGACTGTAGTGGGAAACGTCTTATCTGAACAAATACGCAGTGTATATGATCGAATATGATCATTTTAGAGGTTACACTCGTAGCACACGCACACGACGCGGCTGCGAAACAGCGATTAACTTGGCAGTTTTTAACCATTGCATCGTATATTATCTTAATTCATAACAGTGGCTAATGTAATAAAATCTGTAACTGCATAGCAACTTCGACGATTGATTGTACACTGCTTTATAATAATTTGTAATACTGTACGACATTATGTTTAGAACTCAACATGCCACCAAAGTGCGATAGTACTTACACAAAATTAAACAGAATATTGTATGTACTAACATATGTGACAAATATTAAATGGAATACTTAATAGTTACTTTAAGATACGAGTGCGGAAAGTAAGGTTTTATGAATAAGGGCCAAATTGGCATTGGCACGAATTCGAAAAACTTTTCACGCTCTAGTTTCTTACAACATTTACAATGCTTGTTGCGAGGAAATAAAACAAATATATAAGTTAATAAAACTAAGTATGTATTAAAGGTAAAAATTATTTGTTAAAATTAAACGTGATATTTGAACATGTTTTCGTGTCATACATTTTTATTTGAAAATATTCGTTCTAGGCTCCTTGAAATACTTTTGCCTCTAAAGTTTGACATATTTTCAACATTTTTTATTTAATTTCTTTGGTACTCGGCCAAAAAAAAATAAAAAAATACTTTTATGCACGTGTGCAGTAAAGGATTTCAGTACATTTTTATTTAACACGTGTTTAAAGACTCACTTTCGGTGTTTACAATGGGTTAAAAAAATAGCACTTTATGAGGAACTGCATTGAAAAACAGTTTTATATTAATATATTAATAAAGCAAAGTAAACATTATAATACAACAACAACGTAACTTGAACATTTGAATCACTAATGAGGCACTAATGAGGCAAATGAGCAATTGGCACAACTTGCTACTAATAGAACGTTTAACAATCTCATTTTTACATTGCACACTATAAACTGGTACAACCATCGGGCCCTGAACGTTATATAAGTATTTCACCCCGTGACCACTGTGCAGGTGGTAATTGTTCGTCTTTGAGCAATACTATCCACGTCCACGTTTAAATCTGATTGCGTACTCAACCACTCAGGCCTAATTTGTAATATAGATAAATATTCAGTCTGTTACCGATGCCAAAAACCCTAATTAGTTTTTGTGTCATTTATCTTTAATCAGGACTAGGGATAAGTAACAGGTGCCTACCTTATCACCGTATCAAATGACCAGTTGTTAAAAGCTCTAATGAATCTAGAATTGTGAAGCATCTATGGGAATTAATTGGAAATTTAGGTATGCTTCTATTTTAGATAATACGATTGTCTCAAAAAGGACCTCATAAAATGTTGTTATAAGAAAAAGGACCGATGAAAGACTCCGAGGTGAGGTGACCAACCAACTCCAAATGGGTGGCGTTAGTAACTATACATATGAATATAGCTATGTACGCTACACGGGTAAACGCCAGGTGGTTAAGACATGAAAACATACCAAGGTCCAGCAAAATCAAGTCTGCTATGTTCAAACGGACGGACAGGTGTTATTCGAAATGGAGATAAGTCTCCCACCAATTGTGTTTTAATAAGAACCTTCTGCTTGGTACATACTAAACATTTATGTATATACCTCATTGTTTGTTTTAACTTTATTTTTTGCTTGCAGGATCCAATACTTCGGTTGAAAGTTAGTCAAAATCAGCTGCATTCAAGAAGACTTTCTTGTGTCTACAATGATAATTATATAATGTAAGTAAATAAGTTAGTATTGTTAAGGATAGTTGGATGTTTATTTTGTTCCTGTAAGACAGAATTTTTTATTGTTCCGCCCACCATGAGGATTCCATCCTCTTCAAGGTAAGTTTATAATTTACTGTTTCTCTTTAAATGTTTACCTATATGATTATATTCATTCAACTTCATCATCTAAGACTTTTTGTACTAATATTATATCTTCTTGTATCACTTTCGTATAATCTTCCTTCAATTGAGGTATCTTTTGTAAGATTACTATGTATCGACTTTCTTTATTTCTTCATTGTGTCTTCCATAAATTTTCTTTCATTTTCATTGTCTAGCTCCATCATACTTTTCAGTCTTTCATCAGGTAGATGGTGTATAAAGAGATGGCGTATTGCATTTTCTTTCCTCAACCTGACCAAACGAAATCCAGCCCAAAGCAGTTTTTTTATGCACACGGAGATTTTAGAGGTCCCTTTATTAATTCGTGTTGAAAAATTAGTGCACATTTGTGCACTCCAAGTAGTAAATCTATCAGTGCCGACGTGTAATATGCTAGAACAGCCAGTTGTAAGTTTTTCTAGTGTGGCCAGTCACCGGCTGCTATTGACTTAGATAATAAGTTTGTGGTGTAAGTTTAAGCTTCTATTTGAATGCAAAATTATTTTTCATATGGAGAAACAATCTGGAGTTGTACCATGCTATTAATTCTTGTCTTCGTTATACCAACTCCAGTAATTGGGAACATTACTGGAGTGTACTGTCTTCTTCTTTAGTTTCAGTAACTGCCCTTTCGCTTATGAAAGAAGCTTGTGAGCCTTGATCAACAAGCGCTCGTAAGATTTTCGTGTTTTTATTCGATGGTCTGTGGTATGAAATGAGTGTTCCGTGAATGTTTTTTCTTTTACCTTTCAGACGACAAAAGTACAGCAGGACTAGCTAATTCTAATGTACGAAATTTTGATTCCAAAAATACCTCAAATCATCAGAGTTATTTTATAATAAAAATTCCCTCACTCTTTATGCGACTCCGGGTCTGACTTTAGAATAATAAAAAATACGATTACAGGATCCTACGACACAGTTTTGATATTTAAATTAAATAATTTATTGAGACATTCAAGAGCATTATCGAGTAACTTTTTTATTGAATTGACAGACTGAAAACTTATCTTTTTTTGAGAAAATTATCTCTTTAACAGAGAGTGCATTGTAATACGTCTATTTCACGCGTCTCATTATAATCGCTAACACGAACATATCGCAGAAGTGCTTCTGCTTCACCCGCGATGCTACTTCTCAAATGGTGAAGTTTTTGTGCGTTAGAAAGTGATGCGTTGTTATGTACTAAACTCACAAACAAATCCTCAAAAGTCGGCAGCTCTTATTTATTTATTTTAACTTTTTTATATACAGTGCTAATAGCGGACTTTATGCCTTTAGGCATTCTCTACCAGTCAACCGGAGTTGTATACAGATATGAGGCGGTGCGTAAAGATCAACTGTGTTAGACAAATATTTAGATCTAAATACATTATATACATAATTATATAAATATCTAGCCATCTGAAGGATTAACCGGATGAAGATGGAGAATTTAATAGATGTTAACGAATTAATGGTTACGAATAAAGGAGATTATATTGTACATACATCGGTGATTTCTGTACATTGGTAGGGAGCGCGTTTCAGTCTCGTTTTGCCTGAAGAGTAAATATGAGTTTAAGATAAAACCAGTTCGGTAGGAAAGGGGTGAGAAAATATAATTTGCTGTCAAAGCGAAGATTTCGATTGTGGGAGACATCCAAATACTTAAACCTACGTTCCAAACATCCAGGAGCACATGAGTCATTAATTATAGAGTAAAGAGTAGAATAGATTCACTGCAAATTCAATATGACTGTTATGATCATATTTTTTAAGACCGTAAATAAGGCTTTACAGCTTTTAAGTAATCGATCCAATTGATGAAAATTTGCTTGGGAGATATCAGTACAACTCACATCGCCATAATTAAGGATAGGAAAAACGGTGGAGTGGATTAACAGAATTTTATTAGAAATCGGAATGTAATGTTAAAACTGATTAAAGGACCTAATACTGGCAGCTCAACATGTTATCAATAGAAAATCTAAGGGTTATGACTTGTGGCATATATCTATGACAAAACTTCTACCGTTATATGTCACAGGCGTTAAAGAGCTCATATCCAACTTAGATAACGTATAACGGTTACCAACTATAATAGCTTGACACTTAAAGGGATTGACGCAGATGCCAAACTTGGTCAACTAGTCAGAGATTTCCTGTAAATCACTATTGAATGAGTATATAGCATCATTGAATTTCTCACCGTGAGATTGTGCGTAAACTTGAAGATCGTCTGTCTGTGGCGGTGACATGATTGATTCGATTTGTAAAATAACATCTTGAAAGTCCGC